CAAATTTTAATTACCTTTATATTCTTGCTTTTTTTATTAATTTTACTATCTTTTGCTAGTTTTCTAATTTTTTTTTTAGTTTTACCGCCTTTTAACAGTTTCGCCAACTTCACCAGTTTCGCCAGTTTCGCCACCTTTCGCCATTTTGCCATTTTAATTTTTTTTTGGCGAAAGTCGAAACTAGGTTTCGCCATTCGCCTGTGGCGAAACTTCTAAGTTTCGCCTGCCAACACTAGTTCCACCTGGCAAGTATCATATTAAACTTATAGTATGATTATCAAATATATTATATACTTATTTTATATTTATATTTAGATTATTAAATTATATTATATAATCATTTTAAAAGGATATAAATTTTTATTTATAATTATTATTTAAAATACGTACGTATATATTATTTGTTAAAATAAAGATTATTAATAAAATTTTTGAGATATGAGAGTTTATGATTTGAGAGCAGGTAAGCTAACTTTATAATAAGTTTCGATTTTCTCTAAAAAGTACAAGAACTCCCATGAAAAGGCATATTTAGAATCCCAAAGCTCTTTTTAATAATTTATTTTTTTCAAGCTTTGATTCGTCTTCTTTTCGGCATCTTTATATCAATTTCGATGTTAAATAATGTAAAACAATTAATAAACATCCATTCACTTCATTATAATATTATTTTAATTTCATCATAATTGTATAATTATTATATTAATAAAAGCTTGTGTAATACCTAGTATACATGCAATAATTAAAAGAAACAGAACTACAGTAATTCTTCTTCTACCCTAATACGAACATAGTTTACTTGCATAAAATTAACCCCAAATTAAATAATTAAAAAGAAATGTCTAATTTACTGGCACTTTACAAATCCTGAAACATCAGTGATACATTTAACGCATAACCATTCAGCCAGAGTTTCTATAATGAATTTTCTTGCATATTTCAATGAATCACTATCAACTGATGTTGGAAATCTCAAATCATTAACGTGAGACGCATTTTTGATTAGGAAAACTTTGTTTCGTGAGATAGTTTTGAAACATGAACCACTAACTGTCAAACTTTTCCATGGATCGAGTTCACCTGTTGATAAAATAAAATGAAATAACATGTTATTTATAAAATATTGAAGGAAAAAAAAAAACAAAAAACAAGTATAACCTACCATTTATGAATATGGTTCGGGAGAATATACCAGTATTCCCTCCAAATTGGAGATTAGTAATTTTAACACGTGGTGGTGGAATTTCAGGAAACAAAAAGTTACATTGTTTTTGATAATATTCCCTATCGACAATTTGTGATCGCAAACTTTGTTTTGGTGGTTTTGGAGCTACTTGATACCAACCAAATTGTGTACAGTACTATCAAATAAATTGATTAATGTTAATATATATATATACATATATTATATTATATAAAGTATATTTGAGGAGAACTAGAACTGTATTAACCTGATATATAAATGAAACTAAGTCATTAGGTACAACCGAAGTATTAAGTGCTGAAGTAGCAAAGTTTGCTTTAATAGCATCAGGAGTAATAATTCCAGATACGTTCAAAAAGAATTTAGTAACTTGAGCTAAAATCAATACCGAAGTTTCTGGTTTATTATCAGGAGCTTTAGCGAATGCAGCACAAAATGTTGGAATAGTATCAATTTCTGAAGGAGAAGTAGGAGGAAAATATGTTTGAACCATTAAAGAAACTGGATGACTAATAGCCGAAGCAAAATCTTGATCATCATCTAAAGCATCAAGACCGAACTGTGATTTAAGAGCTGCAATTTCTGTACGGTTACCGGATAATAAAATTGGGTCAATAACATATTTAAATGCATCAGCAACTCTATCACGACAAGGAAGAGCACGAGCAACTCCTTGATCATATTCGAAAAAAATTGATTTTCGAAAGTAAAGGAGCTGAAGAAGCCCAAGCAGCAAATACGAGCTTAGGGAATTTTTTACGCATCCATGTTGCCAAATTTCCAGAATATGAACCACCAACAAAGATCCATTTAGCATCTTTAGGGCACTCTATTATGTCAGTTGGAGGATTTTTTATAAATTCAGCAAAATCAGCAAGGACTTGGTTAACAGTTAAGAATTTCATGTTTGGAGTATTAAGATTTTTAATCGGTGGGTAACTTTCACCATAATAACGATGTTCAATAGTAATAAGTAATCCATTGAAACTTGCGACAGTTTCACTAATTCCAGATGCTTCGACTATTATAGGATTAATTGCACCCTCACCAGGAGTGTGGAGAAAAATAGGACCACCAGGTTTATAATAAGTAGAATTAATGAGGAATCTTTGAGAAAAAGTTCCACATGACTTATCGTTGTGATCAATAAATTGCTTATAATAATGATATAAAGGCTGAGAATTTGTTTCATTTACATCCCTAGCATATACATTCGAAGTAAGATGGACCGAAAGAACGGAACAATCCAAGAGAGTAACCAAAATAAATAACAAACGAAATATGGTAGCGGGTTTCATTTATAATTAGCAATAATGGATGATTTGGATGATTTGTCGGTGAGTATATTATGTTATTTGATTAATTTCTCTTGGATTAGTAAAAGTATGAGAAAATTGAATTGTTTAAGGAGGGAATAGTTGGAGATATTCTTTCCAGGTATTGGAGTTTTTTAACTGAAACAATTCTAGTTTTTGTACCAAAACCATAGTCATCTTATATTAAGACGTTAAACCACAAATAATATTTGTATCATATTAACCTATCTATTTGCATAAGGGAATTCTTTTAAAAAGAACAATATCACGGATTGAAGAATACGACGTCTTGATTGTGTTTAACACTAATATTGTTCTATTTTCTATAATTTATTGGCTGCTCGTTCATTGTGTAACCCGAATTTCGAAGATAATGTCATAAAAATCTTCTTCCCTCTTTTAGGTCGAATTTTATCTTATCTGTTACCATGTTTGTCAATCTAATTATTCAAACAAACCCCATCTGATTGGTTGTCGATTCTCGAAATGTTATTGGCTACCCTATTTCTGATTTACTAATCGAACCTGTATATCTTATTGAATTTTCCAGAAGCAAGCACAAAATTTCTTTACCCGTTAATCTGTGTTTTTTTCCATGTTTTATTCAAAAAAAATGTTATATAACTATATTTATGGATTTATGCCTTCAAATGACGGGAACTATTCGGCGTAGCTGATTTTATTGAATTTTTAAAGAAAAATACGGAAATATAATGAAAGTATTCGAATAAAATTTTTTATAGAGTTAAAGTTTTATCGACGGTCTCTTATAATAATTTATTACTTACTATTTGCATTATATAGTCAACTCTTTAGTCAACTCTTTAGTGATCTGATAATTCTGACTCTCATACCGGACTAATATAAATTGAGTTGCGTCAGACCAAAATTTGATTTTGAATTGCGTCAGATCAATTTATCTATTATGCGTCATATTAAAATCGATTGATTTTTGAAATAAGAATTTTTACGTGCGTAAGTATGATATAGGATAACTTTCTTCTGATTGGTCAATCACTTACAATTGTATTTATACAGTTTAAAGAACTTTTTAAGAATGTAACATTTCACAAGTAAAAAACAAAAATTAAACCCGTCTCTATCTTCGGAGAAGTGCCAACAGTTACTATGCAAAATAATCCCAAATAATCCCACACCTAGAGGGACCTTACTTAGAAAGTAAATTTTTACATATATTGTAACTATAGAACTATATGTAATTGCTAAAGCGTTAAATATAGCTAAGTTATTGGAAAAAAAATTGACAGTACAACCTTTTTTTTTAGAAGTAGATAAAGCGATTTCTAAACTCGTTGACAAGGTTTTAAATGTAAAAAAATATTAATACATGAGAGTAGAGTTAGTAATAAGTGTTAAAACTTGATATATGTAAAGATTATTACAGAGCTCTAATAAGTCTTATCATAACGAGCTCTAGGGATAATAAACTATAATTTCTTAAACATATATTAGTTCAGTGTAAAAGACATAATAGGCATTTAAAATATATATATATATGAGTGTCAACAGGCAAAAACAGGGAATTTCAATTTTTGCCGGCTTCGCTTTCTGATCCGATTTCTAATAAATTTAAATTAAGCACAACATAAATTATATAGTGTGTTAAATCACATTTTTCGGGGTTTGATCTGTAAAATAATTTCAGAAAATTCACAATTCCCTGTTTTTGCTTGTCAACATGATATGTAAACCTTTTTTCTTTCTTTATTCTTTTGTCAAAGTGAGAATAATAAAGAATTAATTTTATGAATATAATATAATTTAATTGGTCGATTGTCACATGTTGTGCAAATGTCTAATCATAACATATTATCCAATTTCATGTGATTGACCAATCATGAGAAAGTTATCTTATATATAAGTATGTATATACTTGCTCTCCAATTTTGTATTCTAATTTGTGCTATTATTGCAGAGATCATCTTTGCTATATAGGTCTTTACAACTCTTTGTAATACTTAATATCCTGTTATTTTTTGATTATTAAATTTTATAATGGTTTTGAAGTATATAAAGAATGTTGTGAAAACAAATCAATCTAAGCAAATACAAAAAAATAAATATATTTTATATAACAGAGTTACTAAGGTAGCTACCAAAAGTTTTACATATAATAAATGAATACTCCATAGCAGTTGATCAAGATATTACACCTAATTTTTTATTATATAATTTTTATAAATTACAAATCAACAAATTATATTTTTAAAATTTTCTCCCAAATCTTAGTTATAATACACAATATTTTTTAAAACAAATATGTTGCTAGGGCTTTAACAAATCAAACAATATAAAGTATAAAAACTAATGCTACCAGATAATATATAATCTTACCAAAAAGAGGCAATTATTTTGCCTTTTTTGTAAAATTCTTTTAGAGTTTTTAAGATCTTGATATGAAAAATAGCTTGTTAGATATGCATAAACAAGAAGTTTTAGCAAAATACATCTTTAGAAAAGAGGTATCTTATAAAAATATAGAGAAAAATAAGAAAAACTATTTTGTAATATATAGATTGTCAACAACTCTTCCTGACAATCACTTGTACCAAATTTTCTAACTAATGAAAGACAAAAAATTGTTGGAGACAAGCAGAGTTATGCAACTAGAGATCAGTTTTTATAAAAGTCAACTCTACAGCTCTAGAAGAGACTCCTTTATATATTTGGCATGCAAGCCAAAAGCATCTTTATACAAGATAACTGGCAAAGAGTGAGACCCCTGTA